GACTCGTCTTCAACCTGACTTGGAGGGGGAAATGGTAAAGGAATGGCATCGGCATTACGAAAGGGCAAGTCAACAGGGAGATCAAGCTTTTTTATCAGGGACATCCAACCAAGGGAAAATCCTCTGTTGCATGCCTGCCTGACTTGAAGTTTGTAATCCTCTGTGACGTCAGCCATACCCTGGGCATAGGCCTTTTCGTCGGCCTCTTTGACTTCGGCCTCTTTGGTGGCCAGAGCTTGCTGGAGCTCTTTCTCCGCTTGGGCCTTCTTAGCCTCGGCCTCTCTTTTCTCGGCCTCAGCAACTTTTTTGACGGCCTCAGCGGATTCGGCCTTCTCTTCGGCTAAAGTTTGGGTTTTAGTTGCAGCCTCGGCCTGATCTTCCAGTTTTTTCATTTTTGATTCAAGAGACTTTATCTCCCTCTTCAGAGAGGACGCCTCCCTCTTCATATCAACCAATCTTTGACGATTTTCAAAAGATTTCATTGAAAATGAATGGGCGTGTTGGACGGCCTGAAGGAAAACAAAAGTGTTAGAAAATACTCTCAGAAAGAAACAGAAGGAAAATTCACAAGTGTAAACAGAAACACTTACTTGCACGGAGTGTTGGAGCGTGAGAGCATAATTCTCATACTCACTGAGCTCAGCATTTCGCTCCAAATCCTTCGGAAGGAGAAGAGCAGTGCTGAGGGCGACACCAACGTTGATATCATCGGCGCTTTCGCTGGCCATAATAGGCCTATCCTCCAGAGTTAATTGAGGGGCCCATGGAACGTCAGGCTTCTTGGACGCCGAGGTCGTCGCAGACGATGACCTCGGCCTTTTTGATTGTGTAGACCCTGAGGGTTGGGCCTCAGCAGACCTCTTGGTGGAAGCAGAGGTTGATTTTTTGCTTTCTGCCAGCTAAGAAATAGGCAAAGCATCCTCAGCTTCGGCATCAGTAGCCTTGGCCTTGGGCTGAGCCTTTTTTACTCTCTTCGGCTTTGGTGGGGGCATCGCATGCGTTGGTACAGCATCGGCGTCGGTTGGAAGGTCGGCAAGAAGATCTTGGGTGACAGGCCTTGGACGAACCATCTCGGCAGTCTTCACAAGTCTTCGTCGACGTTTACGTTCTGGAATTGGTATTAAGTAGGGGGCCGAAGTAGATGGCAGATCGGCTAGATCAGAAGTGGATCCTTCGTCTACTCGTGATATAGAAGCAATGGAAGGAGTTGTGGCAGAAGGTGGAGAAAGACTCTTTTTCTTCCTTTTTGGGACGTCTGGTAAAGTGGATTTATAAGTCGGAATGAAATTTAGCAACAAGGGAGCCTTGCGCTTATGGATAGGAAGACCAAGAAGCTTCTTTAAGTCTTTTCTAGGAAAGAAGGATTGACGGAAGTTCTTGGGAGGTTGATGAAGATCTGCAGGACAAGAAAACAGACATTAGAAACAGACCAAATTTTAAAGACTTAAATAAAAACAAACCAAGTGTCGGCACTGGGCTCTTACCCTTGCCCTCTTTAACTGTTCGAGGAAGAGGGTAGAGGTGGACATCTTCGTCTGGGCCAAATTCCCAATTTCCCGAAGCGATAACAAAGTCATCCCCAGCCCCCTTGTTAGAGTCTGGGAGGTCGGCTACAATTTTGAACCCGGTCGACCTCGGCTTAAGGTAATAAACAAAGCCCCTGTCCTTCAGGTTAAGGGGGCACATTGTATAACAGTACTGAAGGTCGGCCAGGGTGATCCTATGATTCTCTTGCCTAGCTAAAGCTATAATACCGTTAATCACCCTATAGGAGTTGATAGTAAGTTGCATGGGGTTCAGCTTGTAGAAATAAAGAACTTCACGAAGCAGGGGATTAAGTGGTAGTCGAAGTCCACATTCAGTAAAGGCTACTATAGGAAAGGGCATTGTATGGTCTGTGGGCATGATGGTATCATCATTCCCAGCTAGCTTAAGGTGAACATCGGCTGGGATAGAGAATTCCTGTCTAAAGTATTCGAGTTTTGTTGGGGTATTTACCCTATGCCTCCACATACCCATTACGTCAAACTAAACAAAGAAGAATATGTTTCAGAAAATGGGCGTTCAAAGAAGGGTTGCAAGAACCTCGGCAAAGACCTAGGAAGGGACTGATAAGGCTTGTTTCAGTTTTCCCTGAAAAGTTGAAGGTTCTACACACAAACTCCCAAGCCAAAGAACTATAAAGATCAAAATCGAAGGCACAGAACTGAAACAGATACGAGACAACAAGAAAACAATGGCAAAGTTTCAGATTCAAGAACAACGATGGGCTATCAGAAACACGAAGAATACAAAGGGTTAAAAGCCAAGAATTATGGCAAGAAAAGTGGTGAAATAGTGCAAATATTCAAGATATAGCCACGATTCAAGATACAAATGAATCCAAGGCTTTGAACAAAGCAATAATGACAACAGGCAGACGAAAGCACATAAAGAGAACTAAGAGTGAAAGGAACAGAATCTTACCAGAACAAATGAAGCCGGAGCAGTATTCGCCGAAATCAGATGTCGGTTGTGACAGCAAAGAAAGCTTCGCAAGAATGGAAGATTAAAGACAGTTGCAGAAGAGAGATTGAAGCAATGGCAGATTCGAAGAAAAAAGGGCTTTCGGAGAGAGAATGAGCAAAAAATCAGAATGAAAAAGTGAAGAAAGAAAGGGGCAAAGAAAAGTTTTGTCAAAAACTTAAAACGGCGGCAAAACAGGGCATTTATTGCGCCTGGAGCACCGGATACGTCAGACGGCGCAGACGGATGAAAAGACAGCCTTAAGGCGCGTCGCAGGAACGGGCCAATAAAAATAAAGCATTTGAAGGGAACGGTTAGAAGTGCATGACAGCTCATGCGCGTAGGAGAGTACGTTCGAAACCTTGTTCTCCGAAGAGAACACATCGGCTGGAAGTGGATTATCTCGGCTAAACAGTTTCTTGGCCACAATGCAGAAAGAAATATCAATATAGGTTCCATCACCTCAGAATTCCGAGGTAATAGAACCTAGGGGGCAGTTGTGGGGATATATTTTCTGAATACCAACACGTGGCATGGTGACGCCGACGTGTCAGCCGAGGTGCCACGTGTCGTGGTAGTTAGGCCGAGGTGATCTCGGTGTTGCCGAGGTTATCTCCGAAGATATCGGAATCCAAGATAAACGAATAAGGGACAAGAGTCTTAAGACGAAGAGGGGACTTAACCAAGATAAGAATAAAGCTCTTAGGAAGTTTATCTTTATCTCTTGAGGAGTCCAAAGTAAGCACAGAATTGGAGTTCATAGAAGTCATACTTCTAGTGGGACTTGGATTGAGTATATTATAAAAGAGAGGCACCCCCGTGGGTCTAAGGTATCCAATTTACATTTTGAGTATTAAGTTTAAGCACTTGATTATCTTTGAGAGATATATTGACTTGATCGTCGGAGTGCCCCCGGGTGGAAGAACCATCGCCGGAGCCTTCTCTTTCTGTTACAGGTTACTGAAGCCATCTATTCTGCCTGTGCTCTCTAGCTGATTACTGAGTAGGCAGTGTGGTCAGATTTTCACCCACACATAATTATTTGAATGTGGTTTGAAAAGGTTAAATTTATTTGATTATGAGTCTTGAAAATAATAATAGGATGATTTGTAATTTTTTTATTTATTTTTGATTGATTGATGTATAAAATATGATAAATGTTAGAGGAAAGATGAGAGATGAGAGAAAAAAAATGATTGATTGATTGATTAATAATAATAATAATAATAATAAGAGTAAATTACAAATACACCCTTGAGATTTGCTTAAAATACAGATTGTTCTCTATGGTTTGAAAAATTACAAATACCCCCTTATTAGAATTTTTTATTTAACAGAATTAACTAAAAAATGAAATTCATAATTGTTCTCTTATACAATAATAAAATTACTTAAATGATTAATTAAAACATATTTTTAACATCATGAAAATTATTAATTGACTTGATGATTTCTTAATAAAAATAGATGATTTGTTATGAAATTAGAAATCTTAAAAAGTGAAACGTAATTTTCAAAACCACAATAAGAAAGAGCTAAGGTATAATCTAATTTGGTAAAACTTCATACGTCAATGGCAAAGTCAATCGCATTCGAGATGTTAATGTAAATTGTAAAAGTAAATTACCACACCACCAACTCCACCTACCATCTCCACTACCACCCACCACCTCCACTACCATCCACTACCACCACTCACTTATCTCACACCTCTCCTATATAATAGCTTGTAACATACAAATCAATACACAACAATCTTGTAAACAATCAATCAATAATATACATCAATTATTTTTACACTTTTATTTGTAAAGGGAAAAGATTAATAAAGGCATATTCATGTGCCAAAGGCACTTAAGCTTGGTGTTCTTCGCCTTCCGGCGGGCGGCAACCTTACCTTGACCGCCCGCCGGACCTCAACCTATTCCGCTTATTTTCTACACAGCACATACCTTCACTCTGCTTCTCTTCCAGTTTGATATGCTTTGTCAGGATTGACATGTTCAGGAACTCCTTGCTCAGCTTCATTGACATTGTTGAGATCAGTTTGAAACTGAGGTTCAACACATGAAGTTCTCAAGTCACCTCGTACACATTCCATCAAGTCACAATCTCCATCATATTCTGAACCATCAAAACTCTCGCCAAATTGCACAGAATGACCACCTTCATTAGTGTGCTCAAATTCATCTTTGTAATTCATGTTCTCTGAGGTGTCATTTTCACCACTGTTGTCCACCATACACCACCGTCTCGGTCGTCTTCATCTACCACCACAGTTGACCTTAACCCGTCGCTGCAGTCCCTTCACTCTGATCACCGGCCGTCACACAGACCTCACCCATCGCCTTCCCCGCCTTCCGCGCCTTCACCTCCAACATCTCTGCCACCCCCGCCTTCCTTCATATGGTGGACGCCGACCACGTACCTCAGGTCTCTCTTCTTTGTCGAGATCAGCCTCCTCGGGACTGGCTCTCCCTTCATTTGTTTCCCGTATCTCTCTCTCACGCAGGGATGGGGGCGGAGGCGAACGCGGCAGAGCAGACTCCAGTGGAAACGACACCGGAGAACGTCGAGGCCTTGCTTGAGGCTGCCAGATATGACGATATTGATGATGTCCCGAACTTAGCTTCTGCTGGCATTTCTCTTGATTCCAAGGATTCACAGGGCCGAACAGCACTTCATATGGCTTCGGCAAATGGGCATCTTGACATTGTGGACTATCTTCTCAGCAATGGAGTGGACGTTAATGCATCTAATGTGGAGAAGAACACTCCTCTTCATTGGGCTTGCCTCAATGGGCACATTGAAGTGGTTCAGAATTTGATTTTAGCGGGAGCAAGTGTATCGGTTCTAACCAGCCACGAGCGGACTCCCATGGACGAAGCAGTGAGTAAAGGGCAAATGGAATGTCAGTGGTTTTATTCGACTTTTCAGGGGGGGGACACACAGCCTGGTTTTCAAGAATAACCACACACCCACCCACCCCACTTCTTTTACTCTCTCTCTCTCTTTGTATATGTTTATTATATTCTCCCTCATACCTCTCTTTTTTTTATTTTTTCTGCAGCCACTTCCTCTTTTGCACCCACGTTTCCCCTTACTTTACAACCCATGTGCACCTTTTTGACATCCCTGTAGGTCCAGGCGCTATTCCACATACCAACCCATGTGCACCTTTTTTTTTTTATCCACCCACTTATTATTATTTCTTTCCTTTCTTTTTATTTTTTATAATCCACCCACTTATTATTATTTCTTTCCTTTCTTTTTATTTTTTATAATCCACCCACTTATTATTATTTCTTTCCTTTCTTTTTATTTTTTATAATCCACCCACTCTTCCAAATCCAGAAACAGCGAGGTGTGGGTCGAAGGGTTGCCAAAAAACAAAAAAAAACACAAAAAATAAAAAAAAAATAAAAAAAAAATAACCTTGTGCCCGAATGCTCTTCCACTCTCTTTCTGCCCGCATGCTCTCTCTCTCTAGGCTTTTTCACTCTGCAGATTTGAACTTTGAACAACCTTGTGTCACTCTTAAAACAAAAAAAAAAAAAAAAAAAAAACAACAACAACAACAACCAACACTGCACACCAAACTCCTTTATTCCTGCCGGGATCTCCCCGATCACATTTTTACATTCAAAAAAAAAAAAAAAAAAAAAAAAAAAAAAAAAATACAAACAAAACAGTCACATCCACAGGTGGGATTTTTCTTCTCTACTCTGCCGCCGGTCTCTTCTTCTTGCCTCCGTCCTGCGAGGCCCTTGACGGTGCTGCCTCCGTGTCACCCACTCCACTGGGCATGATCACTCCTCTCTGCTCCTCCACTGCAGCATATGGCGGCCCTCCAAATCGGAACATCACGGTGGCCTTCCGCTTCAGCTCCTTGTTTTCTGCCTTTAGCACACTTATCTCTACTCGCGCATCCTTATACATGCGTTGGAGCAGAGCCAGCTGGGAATTTAAATGCTGCACCTCATTTGTCCTACTCTGCAGCCGGTTCGACAAATTTGTGACCGCCATTATGGTCTCCACACATGACTTCAAAGTATACTGATTGGCCTCAATATCAGTTTGCACCGCCATTTTTTGCTCCACCGACCGCATCGGAAAGTTCAACGGAGCAAAACCAGAGGTGTTTGGTTGAGGTTCACTGGCCACCGCACCCGTTATCTCTCTTGTTGACTCGTTGAGGTCGGGAAAGAGAGTCAGCAGACCACGGGACGACGAAGCCATTTTCTCTCGCAACAGAGTGTTACAGACTCTCTCTCTCAGCACCACAGTGTTACAGCCTCTCTCTCTCAGCACAACGAAGAGTCTTACAGAGGATTTCGCAGGTTTCTTGCTTCTGCCTCGGCCTCAGGCTCCATCTTGGTTAAATAGCCGAGGCCGCCACGCGCATCGCGCGCCTCTTAACGCCAGACAAACGGGCACGCCAGCCAAGGCACTCACGTGCCTCGCCATCATATCTGGCACGCCTTTTGATGCATCGGGCACGCCTTTTGATGGCACGCCTTTTGAAAAATTGGGCGCACCTTTTGAGGATGCGATCCACCAGCCGACAAATGGGTGCGCCAACCAAGGCACTCACGTGCCTCGCCGTGATGAATCCGGCACACCTTTTGAAGAATTGGGCACGCCTTTTGATGGCACGCCTTTTGATAAAATTGGGCACGCCTTTTGTGGGTGCAACTTTTTCAACGGTCCGACATGACCCTATAAACTGTCCCGACATTTGATTCCGGTTAGCTTTTACAAGGGTCCGACAAGACTCTGTAAACTGTCCCGACATTGATTCCGATTAGCTCCTTTATGGGTCCGACAAGACTCTGTAAACTGTCCCGACATTGATTCCGGTTAGCTCCTTCATGGGTCCGACAAGACTCTGTAAACTGTCCCGACATAGATTCCGGTTAGTTTCTCCAACGGTCCGACATGACCCCATAAACTGTCCCGACATTGATTCCGGTCACCATCCAGTGTCCTCTACCACGTTATGACACCACCATTCAGTGCCTTCACCAACGATCTGACACGACCATACAGTGTCTCTTATCTTTTTTTTATTTTTATGTATTTTCTTGTTTTGCTCCTCTCTCCAAACTCAAGTTGGTTAGTTTCTATCCTCCTTGAGTTTGCGGGGGGCTGTTAAAATATATCATCACCTACCACCTCCACTCAACTCACCTACCACACACACTCACCTACTCCCCAATCCTCTCCTATATAATAAGCACCTCACCATCTGTAATTTATACAACACATCAATCAACATCAATCAATAATACATCAGTTTCTTAACATCTGCCTAAAGATGAACCCTCTCAAATGTGCCTTCGGAGTTACCGCCGGTAAGTTCCTTGTCTTTTTTGTACACCGGCGGGGGATTGAAGTAGATGGGGATAAGATTAAATCAGTCATGGAGATGCCACCACCACACTCTCAAAAGGCTTTGAAGAAATTCCTAGACCTTTGTCATACCTCAGGAGGTTCATTCCAACCCTTGCTGAGATAACCTTTTCCTTTGGGACACTGCTGAAAGGGAATCACAAGTTTAAATGGTTGCAAGAACATCAGCAGGCATTTGATATGGTGAAGAAAGCACTTACAATGCTTGCCCTACAACCCAACAAGCCTCTGCTACTGTACCTGACGTCTACACCTCGGTCTATTGGGGCTCTACTTGTCCAAGACATAGATGGCATTGAGAAGCCAGTTTATTACATTAGTCGCAGTGTCAATGGTGTTGAGTCGCGATATACCCCAATTGAGAGGCATTGTTTAGCCTTAATCTTCACAGAGCGGAAGTTGCGCCACTATTTTTTGGCACACCCAATCCATGTTGTGACCTCGGAGTGATCCGGTCTGCTACTTGCTAAGCAAACCCGCTCTGACTGGAAGAATGGCAAGATGGCTTTTGGCTCTAGCAGAATATGACATCACTTGTGTTACTCCCAAGGCTATTAAGAGCCAAGCACTTGCAGACTTACTGGCCCAATTTCCATCTGGGAGTGAGGTCCATGTCTCAGCAGCTGCAGTTGAGGCTTATTGGGACTTAAAATTTGGTGGAGCTTCGGGAGCTGGGAAAGGCGGAGCTAGCATAACACTAACCAGTGAAGGAGAGAAGTTTCATCTATCATATAAGCTTGATTTTGAATGTTCAAACAATGAGGCTGAATATGAGGCGTTGATATTGGGTCTAATCGCTGCCCAAAAGAAGGGCCTCCGCAAGTTGAAAATTTGGGGTGACTCTGAGTTAGTTGTCAGGCAAACAATAGGTGATTTCGCCTTAAAGGAGCCTCTGTTGGGCCCGTATCGCACCGTGGTTCAAGGGTTGCTCACTCAATTTGATGATGTCCAAATCCAGCATACCCCTCGAACACACAACTGTTTCCCCAATGCCTTGGCTACACTGGGGGCAAGGGTGGATATACCAGATGATAGTATAGCCATCGTCATCGAGAAAAGAACAACACCAGCAGTGTTAGCCGAAGAACATACAGAGCAAGATGCTGAGGGATGGAAAGCAGATATAATCCAACAGAACAGTTGAAAACAGGCCAGGGAACAATCAGACTAGCAGAACTTGCATAATTTCTGCTCCTCAGAGGAGAGTTGTATTTTCGCGGTGCCAACAACTTGCTGGCAAGGTGCGTCGGTAGACAAGAAGCAACTTACAGACTTAAGCAGATCCATGCTAAGTCTTGTGGAGATGGAGATATCAGTCTATACCGATGAATACGGAGGTAAGGGTATTACTGGCCAGAGATGGAAAAGGAAAGTACTGAGTTGTAGAGGCAATGTGCAAAATGTCAATCCCATCCTAAGGAAGAGGAAGCCCATTTCTTAAGCAATGAAGAATGGAGGCAGCCATATGTCGACTACCTTGGAAATGGCACACTGCTTGAGAACAAAGCCGATGCAATCAGAGTTAAGAGGTGGGCCCTCCGCTTCTTCCTTGACCAAAGGATGAGGCAAATGAGGTGCTGAGGGAAGCCCACAAGACAGAACATCAAGGAGGGCAGCGATTATGTGGACATCTCATTCACCTCGGCTACTACTGACCGACAATGGAAGAAGATGCTAAAAACTTTGTAAGGAGATGCCAATCCTGCCAGAAGTTTGGGAACTTGATACATGCACCGACGGTTGAGCTGCACAACATCAAGACCCCTTAGCTGTTCCATACTTTGGCATTTGACTGCGCAGTAATCGAAAGGCCACAGATTGCAGCGACTGAAGTTAGTACCAAGTGGGTGGAGGCTATACCGATGAGGAAGGCAGACGGGGCAGGAGTAGCCAACTTCATCAGAGAAAGCATAATCTGTAGGTTTGGCATACCAAAAGTAATGTTGTCCGACAATGGAACTCCCTTTGTAAATCGTCACGTGGGAAGACTGCTGAACACCTACCAGATCAAACAGCACAAGTCTAGTCCATACTACCCCCAAGGGAATGGACAAGCTGAGGCGACCAACAAAACCATCATCCGAATACTGAGTAAAATGATGGATGAAGCAGGGGGCACATGGTTTGAACGACTCCCCGTAGCACTCTGAGCGTATAGAAGAGAAAGCCAACTCAGGCAACCCCATTTTCCATAGTGTACGGGTCCAAAGCTGTATTACCAGTTGAGTTGGCAGTACCCTCAGCAAGAATGGCTATGTCAGCACACTTAGTTCCAGACAGCAGAAAGAATGACATAGAGGTTGCTGAAGAAAGAAGAGATTGGGCCTCGCGGGTAGTGGAAAAGTATCATCAATCCGTAGCTCATGCCTACAATCAATCTGTTTATCACAAGAAGTTCAATAAAGGGGACTTGGTATGGAAGACAGTGGACGCAATCATGTGGGGGCAACCAATTCCCAAGTTCTCACCAAGATGGGAAGGCCCCTACAAAGTTGCTGAGGCAAGCAGCAGCGGGTACTACAAGTTGACAAGAGTAGATGATGGGTTCAAAACTGGCCCTATCATCACCACGTTGTCTGGACGCAAATGAGCTGA